TCTAAACAAGCCTCCATTCTTGAAGAATAATTGATTTTCTCATATTCAATGAACTCAAGCTGAGCTTCTGGTTGCAAATAAATGCTACCAAGACCTCAAGTTAGCTTCTAGGGCCTGGGGCTGGAGGGTTGGGGCATATCTGTGCTGTATCGCAGTGTTTACACAATTCTCAAGAGCACTAGTGGGCCTGCATCCCTGCCCCCTGCCCCCCCCCCGCCCCCTCCCCCAGGGGTTAGGAGCCCAAGGTGAGAATCAGCGGCTTATCGCCCAGCATCCTGATTTACCGAAAGGATAAGCCCAGAGAGGCAGCCAGCCCAAGGCCACACAGTGAGTTGGCGGCAGGCTGGGTTCTTCAGGGTGCCACTAGGGCACCCCCAGTACTGACCCCTCCTCTCCAACCCAGCCCCCCACTCCAGGAACCACTAGCCATGCCTGAGGGGCTGATCTCCCTCCCTCAGCACAATTCCGGGTGATTCTCGCCTCCCAAATTTGTCCCCACCCCTGTCCATTTCTGTCTCCTGTTCCTGTCCGACCTGGTATTTACTACATCTGTGCCATCCTCGGTCCTCCACCCCCGCTCACCCCTCTGCGATTCCCCCGGGAGGGGGAGGGGCCCCAAGCCGGGGCTTCTGTACTGAGACTCTTTTGTACACCACAAACTTTTTGTATATTTTTAATTTTGCTGCGACATGAGATATTAAAAGTCATTTCAGTACGCGTTGTCTGTGTCCTGTTGTTTTGGCTGTTGTGGGTCGGAGGAAGGAGATGGGGGAGGCGGGACGGGGAGGAAGGACACCCTCTACCACAAACACATTTGGCTGGGAGGGTTAGGCTGTTACACACAGCTCCCTTCACTGGCCAGAGCCTCCATCAGGCAACCAGGATGAAGGGGGTGAGCAAAGGTTTTAGGAATTAGCTCCAAATGCTTCATTTTACAGATAAAGGGAAAAAAGAGATGGGGTGGGGGCCAACTTGCCAGAGGTCAGAGAATGAGTCCATGACAAAATCAGGACCCAGACTGAAGTTTCTAACCCCCCAAAACAAATATTTATTGAGTACCTACTATATGCCAGGCACTCTTTACTCTTTTAGGCGCAATCAATTGACATCTCTCTCTCTCTCTCTCTCTCTCTCTCTCTCTCTCTCTCTCTCTCTCTCTCATCAATGAAAAGGGCATATCCTCAGGTGAGGATTACAAAAAATAAAAGGAGCCCTGACTGATTTGGCTCAGTGGATAGAGCATCGGCCTGCAGACTGAAGGGTCCCAGGTTCGATTCCAGTCAAGGGCATGTACCTTGGTTGCAGGCACATCCCCAGTAGGGAGTGTGCAGGAGGCAGCTGATCGATGTTTCTCTCTCATCAATGTTTCTGACTCTCTATCCCTCTCCCTTCCTCTCTGTAAAAAAATCAATAAAATATATTTTAAAAATAAAAGGAGGGGTTGTGCCCTCCCCTGGCTCTGTTTACCCTTCCACTGGGACACTACAGCTGTGTGGAGAGCCACCTTGAAGCTGAGAGCGCCCCCTAGTGCGGTGGAGCAAGCTAGGAAGCCCCTGGGCCCTGCACAGCTGGGGCTCCCACACCCGTCCTGGGCTACTTTTATGATGGAAGAGATAAGCTTCCACCAGGTCTAGGCCACTGCTCTTGAGGTCTCTGTTACAGCCGAAATATACTCTGGCTAATCTATCTGGTCCTTAGGTTCCTGAGAGAGGTCTTTTGAAGGATCTCTGGGAAAGGTTTTCCCTCACGATAGAAACACACGAGAAGGGGAGACCCTTGCAGGATCATGATGGATGTATCACTCCCAAAGCCGCAACAGCCATCTTGCCGGCTGTATGAGAGTTCTAGAGGCGCCAAAACAAACTACCACACGCCGGGGGACTTAAACAACAGACATTCATTTCCTCATAATTCCAGAGGCTAGAAATCCCAGATCAAAATGCCAGCAGGGAAAAAAAAAAAATGCCGGCAGGACTGGCTTCTTCCGAGACCTCTCCCCTTGGCTTGCTGATGGCTGCCTTCTCATATTGTCCTCACACGGTCTTCCCTCTGTGTGTGCACATCCCTGGGCTCTCCCTGTGTGCACTGATTTCCTCTTCTTGTAGGAACACCAGTCAGATTGGACTGACTCTATGGCCTCATTTTAACTTATCTCCAAAAACAGTTACTTTCTGAGGTATGGGGTGTCAGTGCTTCAACGTATAAATTTTGGGAGACACGATTCAGCCCATAAGACCAGCAAAGTGGAACTATAAGGAACTTGCTGCCATTTTTTTTGTTTGTTTCAAAAAAAATTTTATTATTGCTTAAAGTATTATAAAGAGTATTACATATGTCTCCTTTTTTTTTTTTTTTTTTTTGAGCTGCTCAATTAACCAGCCCTGAAATCACTTACCATTGAACTTCCTGCCTGAAGAGATTGTCCTTCTTGCCTAAGCCGCCTTCGGTAGAGTAGTCTGTTCTTTGCAGCCCAAAGCATCACAATTCAGGCACTCTGTGTGTGTTCAAGCGGTTCCCTCCGCCCAGAGTGACCTTCCTTCCATATGCCCTTCAAGGCTTGGCTTGGTGAACGGCTCCTGCCTCTGCCTTCCCCCAACTAGTCGCTTGCCTTATATCAGAGTTCTTTACCTGTGTGCCCATCTCTCTAACCAGGTCAGGGTCAGCATATGCACTGAACACCAGCTGCCACATTCCCCGCTCCTGCCCCATGGCAAGCATTGATAGTCAATCCCCTTTTCATGCTGGGAGTAGACGTGGTGTTTATAATCCTCTACACACACAGAGCTCCAGGCAGCCCCTGCCAATCAGCCGGAGGTGGCTCAAAAGAGATGAATTCCATTTGCCACAACTGCTAAGTCTTCGAGAGCAAGGACTTTGTTTTACTCATCTCTTTTATGATTCACAAGCTAATTTTAATAATAAATGTTACCATTGTGTGCTTCTGTTTCCATTTAATCCCGGCAGCTGCCTTCTGAGGCAAGCGCCAGCATTATCCTGCTTTTGACACGTGAGGACTCTGAGCTCCCAGAGATGAACTAACTACCTGTTCAAGGTCATAAACACTTGAACCCAGGTCCGCCTGTCTCCACCTACTGTCGGTGACATTTTCTAAGCACTGGATCTGTGTATGGCCCTGGGAGGGAGTCGAGGGGGGCCCTGCAGGGCATACACAGGTAGCTTGCTGTTTCTAGTGGCACTCAGAACACCTCTTGTCCTATCTGAGATTCCCAGCAGTTCAGTGATGTTTGGAGTTAGTTCAGAAATAACGGAAGTCCTAATTTTACAGAGGAAGGAAAAGGTTTGCAAAAGCCAGCCGTGGGGGTGCCAGAGCAAGAAATCACCTTTCACTCCCTGCCGCTGCTGGGAATTCAAGACTTACTCCAGGGGTTACGTGGAAGTTTTGATGTCAGGAGCCGTCAGGGATTGGTAGAGTAGTCTGGCTTCTTCCTGTTGGCCGGCAGGCTAATGGAGATCTTTCTTCCTGCTGCCAGGAGATGCCTGGCAGGATGTAGGGGAGCAGGAGGGTGTGGCTGTGCGAGCTTGCACTAAGCAGTCTGGGCCATTTCCCCCCCTGGAAAAGGGGAGGGAGGTCAGGGGGAAGGCTGGTAGCTGGCACTCTCCTGCTGCCCTCACACCCAGAGGCAAGGGGAGCTCCGACCCTCATTCCAACAGCCACTGGCCTGGCACACCCATGCTTTCAGAAAAGCTTCCAAAACAATCCTGTGCATTGTTTGGCGACTACACTTCACAATCTGCAACCGCTTCCCCCATCCAGGGCCTGATATCTTTCTTGTCACACCTCTGACTGCAGGGCAGGGCTTTGGGATTATTGTTCCCATTGGAAACACAAGAAGCTGAGACCCAGAGAAGTTATAATAAGCAGCCTGCCCTGGATCCTATAGCAACTCAGGTCCAGAGCTTGGGTCTCCGGAAGCCACGTGTCATGGCCAGGGGAGGATGGGTCAGTCAGAACCTTTCCCACTGTCCTGGGTGCGGCATGCAGCATGGATTGGCCCTAGAGGTAAGTGACTAGGTTTCAGATCCAGACCAGGCAGAAATCCCAGGTCCCCCTCTTATTCACTGTGACTTCCTCGGCCAGCCTCTGCAGTGGAGCCTTTTTTTAAAAAAAAGTCTGTATAATGGGTATAATAATGTAACCCAATGTTGTGAGGAATAAGTAAGACGAAATACATAGTGCTCAGCACAGAACCACACAGGGGCCTTTTACAGCCCAGGACACAGAGACAGAGAGATATGTAGTTAATATTTATTGGCCACTTCATGTGCCAGGAACTCTTCTAAATGCATTTAATCCTTACAAGGGCACTATGAAGTCAAACTGTATATGCCCATTTTATGGATGAGGAAACTGAGTCACAGGAGGTTAAAGGATTTGCCCAAAGTCATAATCCTAGTAAGTGGCAAAGGCAGGATTCAACGCAGGCAGCCTGTCTGTGAAGCCCATTCAGTACTGCCTCCCTTAATAGTAAGGATAAGTTTTAACAATCATAACCTGCTTGGACACAGTACTGTATAGCTGATGAAGCACTTTCACACCAACTCTTTCATTTAGTTCTCACCACAGCAGCCCAGAGAGGGAGACAATAGTAACTCCCAATTCATAGTGGGGCGGGGACACTGAGGCTGTGAAAGGGGGAACTGACTTGTTTTGCCAAAATCACACAGCAAGGTCAGTGGTGGAAGTAGGGGTAGAGTTTGGGATTTTCTGACTCCAAATTTAGGGGACCCCTAGCCTCACTCAACTCCCAAGCCCCCTCAACAGCAAGCCTCTGGCTGGAGGCCTTGAAACTGTCTCCCCAGGTCAGTTGCTCTGGCTGGGCTTCCACTGTTGAGCTGAAGGGTCCCAAGGCTACATCCCGCCCCCTCCACTCTGCTCACTATCACACAGGAGGGGCAGGAACTCCAGGGCTGGTGGAGTTTCCGACCAGGCAGGAAAAAGAACAAAGGGAAACTTTGGGGGGGGGGGGGAGGGGGGGAGTGGTGGTAAGGAGGGCAGCAGAAGTAGAAGGGACGCTTCACCATGGAATATGAAGTCAAGAAAGGGAAAAAGGTAGGTGGGAGGCTGGGAGGGATGCAGGGCAGAGAAATGTCTCTGGAGCTGGGGAAGTGGGAAGCCTGGGGGGGGGGGGGGGG